TATATTGTATATTTATCTCAAGGAATTATTATATAACATTTAGCATCATCTGGATTACTACATGTACCACGGTGTTAGCAAATACATATATGTTACCATTACTATTATTAGAACTTTTTTATATAATTTACATTATAAGTATAAAATAGAACCTCAATAAATCGGACTAATTAGGGCAGACCCCAGTCTGAAAAATGCGGAAGTCCAAGAAAAGCGAATACATGGAGGGGGTGGGTGGGGGGGGTAACACTGCTTATCTGAACTGTTTAAAATCAGTTATGTTATTACTGCACTTCAACAACTAAGGTCTTTTAGAGTACAGTGGTCCCTTGTTCCACAGTCGTTCGTTAACCAAAATTTTTTTTAACCGAATCTATTATTTCAATGGGATATTGCGTAATTGGTTCCAACTCACAGAAAAAGTACATTCAAAGTACTGTTCAGTATACCGGTAATAGAATTAACAAAACGTTAAATATAAACTAAATACAGTATTGTACAGTATACTGTACAATAAAAAAAATAAAATAAAAATAGAATACTATATTTTAACTTACTTTGAGGTGTGTATGTCATATTCCCGGCAGCTTTGTTTACATATCAAACAGCTGATTGTAGAGGCAGTCGATGATGACATGCCATAATCTTTACAGTGCATTGGTTCTAATACCTTCCTCATGTTTCATAATAATTTCTGCACTGTATGTTATCAATATGTTAACTAAATTTTGGAATGACTAATAATTTTAATGTAAAAATGCAGAAATATTCAAGAGACCAACAAAATCGATGTTCACTCCACTGTACACAAAGTTAAACTGAGAAGCGTTGTTGGGTGATTCAATCAGCTGATGGGCACACAAAAACTGTTCCCTGTACTGTCTATATTATCAATATGTTAACTAAATTTCAGTATGACAAATAATTTTAATATAAAAAATGCAAAAATATTCAAGAGACCAACTTTCTAAATATTTACTTCACTGGAAACGAATGTAAACATAGAACCAATTTCTGTATTGGCGGACTAGCCGATCACCTGATGCGCACAACAAAACGAGTATGTCATAAGGATTTCGTTAATCGAACTGAAAATCCTCATGGGAGCTAATTCGTCAACCGAAATTTTGTTAATCGAACCGTTCGTTAACCGAAGGGCCACTGTAAAACACAACTACGGTCTTTTAGAGTATAACAAGGTTATTAAAAGAATATTACATCTACAATAATAAAAAAAAAATATGAAACAGAACTAACTCTCTGAGATGAAAATCAGACATATAAATCTGGTTGTCACCGAGATGACTGTTATTTACTGTAAAGTGTTATATGTAAGTAACTACAGAATTTGTCTTGTAAATAAAGAGAAAACTGTATGCTGTTCTGTACAGTACAGGAGCCCCCAAGTTCGCGGATTTTTATTTAGCAGTCCTCTATTATTCTCGGATGACACCCTGGATGTACCCAAGAATATCGGTAGTTTTAAAGTTGCTGACATTTTCGTGGCCGGGACAGGGAGCCATTCGTTCTAGAGACAATAATTTCCATTACCTGTATTGTAAATATATGTCTGTGTGTGTGTACATATACACAAACACACACAAAAAAAACATACAAATAAATAATAATGGGAAAACATTCACAAATAATCAGAAACAAATTTATTTAAAATGTGGCAGTCTACCCCCAAGTCCGTGCTTTACTAATAAAGTGCAAACTTGAGGGTAGACTCACATTTTAAATAAATTTGTTTCTGATTATTTGTGAATGTTTTCCCATTATTATTTATTTGGATGTGTTTTGTGTGTGTCTACACACACACATATATACAATAATGTACAGGTAAATGAAATAATTGTCCTAAGAGCAAACACAAAAGGGATATACATTCCTTTGTAAGCAAGTAAAAATGTACACCCCGTCCACAAATGTTATTAGCGGATTCGGTGTTTCGAGGCCATTTTGAGAGCCTAACCACCGCGAATTTGGGGGGCCCCCTGCACTATAAAGATAAAAATAAGAACAAATAAGTGTAGGGGTATACACTATTGTATGTGGAAGACCAATGTTTATGTGTGAGCAGCTGACAGAGGGGTGGGGGGATAGCATGGGTGGTTCCCTCCCCCTCTCTCCCATAAGATTCCTTTTACACTTCTTTATGCAATTCCACCACAATTCTCATATAATTTAGGATAATTTGGAGCCAGGATGATAAAATATTATCCTAAAAGAATCAACTTTCCTGAAAAAATAATCCCACATTGAAAACCATGAGTCATTGTTTACAAAGAGCAAACAGCTGATCGGCTTACCACAATGTCTGTCTTCAACACTTAGTCAATTAGTACAGTACAGTTGTGTATTTATCACCACTTAATAAATACTACAGTAGTGTCTTTACCACCAGTTAGGTAATATTGTAGTGTAAAGTGTTATGTATCTGCATATACCCTGGTTTATTCTTTAATCATTTGTCTAAGTACAAGTAGCCAAATGAGTCCTCATATAACACTCAAAGTTAGTAAATAACATTTTTAAGAAGGTATCAAATACTATACAGTGTGTTATAGTGACCCCTGTTATAAGCTGGTCTACTGAAAGCTCACATGAATGCATCTGAGTAAACAACCTTCTGATACAGCTTATCCTTTTAATTTCAAGTCATATTACAAATTACATACAGTACTGTATTTTTCTTTATTACTGAAGATGTTATATTAATCTTGATGAAAAGCCATGTGGCCAATGATTTGTGAATATAATACTAAATAAATAAATAAATAAACCTGACAAACGTGGCAACACCTGATCAGCCTCAGCCTGCTTACAAACTCAAGTGTCTTAGTTCTCAGTAGGCCTACCGTATAGCAAATCTGATTTGAATACTGTACAGTATTCAGTAAATGTGGTTCATTTCATTAGATTTTTATTTTATTTAATCTTCCCCATTTTTTATATTATTATTTCTGGTGACCAGAGCATCTCAGAGTCCGATATATCGAGGTTTTACTGTATATGGTACACATTTTTGCCGTAGGGTTGATATACAGTATTCTAAGTGGATGGAAGCAATACAACATGGGTAGTGTTGGGGTGAAACAAAGGTACAGACACAGTCAGATCATGCCTCAACAGCAAAATATATAATTACTGTATTGCAATGGTAATGTCCATCAATATATTGGACGTGTACAGTATTGTGATTAGGAAACCCTGTTCAGAGCTAAGAGGATGGATGGGTATTAAGTATTGGTGGGTAAGCTGAGACAGTTTGGGCATGTGGAGAAAAGGGAGAAGAAAAACTGGGACAAGATTTGCATGAATCAGAATGTATCGGGGTTGGTCAAGAATGACATGGGGATTGGTTAAGCCCCGTCTACTCTATCAGTTTCCACCTGTGGTGTCCGAGCACGCTACTCGTACGTCTCGAAGCACGGTACAGACCGCTGACCAGCAGTTTGGCCGTTCACACATATACTGACTCCCCTATCCAGTGTGTGGGTGGCTGCTACCCATGTAGGTAGGGCAATGGCTCCTAGACCCAATCGCCATCGCAAAGCAACATTATTATGTGTTCTGACCGCCTCCCTTGTGATAGAAAGCAAGAAGTGTACACAATGCAAAACATGGGTGATACAGTGGCACTTAGACAAAAACAGGGGAAGCTATAATCAAATATTCAGTGAAATGAAACTTGGCGAGGCAAATGATGTCAGGCACTACATTCGTATGACACCAGACATGTATCAATTCCTACTTGGTACAGTAACCCCTCTGATTGCAAAGGTTAACACACACGTGAGACTTGATTGGTGCAGGGGCACAACTGGAAGCTACACTGCAGTTCCTGGCAACAGGATGCAGTTCTGCTTCTTTGACAAGAGTATCATCTTTAGTTTCTTCTTGTACTGGCTAAGCAGGGCGTTTATTTTTTTCTTTACCATATCAAGCGTGCATTTAAGATTCAGTGCTTTAACAAGTATAGGTCATTATATGCTATGGTTTTCTTATTTCTCCTCTTGTAGGCCTCACAATTTACCTGCCACAAACAGGGATGATCCCTATACTTCTTGATTAAATGTATTGTGAGGTCTTTTATCCATTCAAATGGAACATCATTAACTGTTTCCTGTTGTGCAGTGTTGCCGGATAATATAGACCATATTATGAACCTTGTGACATTATAAACGACTTAGCAACATAGGTATAACGAAGTAAATCCAGGAGACTTTCAGGCCATTTTTTTCGATAAGTTTGAACATTCTGATGATATCCCACTACAGTGGTCACTCGGTTAACGAACACAAGTTGTTCCACAGTATCGTTAGTTAACCGAAAATTTCGTTAACCGAATCCATTGTTTCAATGGGATATTGGGTAATTGGCTCCAGCTCACAGAAAAGTACATACAAAGTAAAAAAAAAAAAAAATGCAGTAAAGTACACTTACTTTGAGGTGTGTATGTAGAAGGTTCCTGGTTGATGATGATGGTGGGAATTAGAAGTGGGGGGTGGAGGAGAAGGGAGAAGAGAAGGCAGTGGGGGTGGAAGAGAAATCACCCCATGCTTAATGCAGTAATTTCACCAATAAAATTTTAAGTTCACTAGGTGTAATTCAAGATTATTTTATTTAAATCAACACTGCACTGCGCTATTCATTATCAATATGTTAACTAAATTTCAGAATGACCAATAATTTTAATGTAAAAATGCAAATATATTCAAGACACCAACAAAATCGATGTTCACTCCACTGTCAACAAAGCCAAACTGACGCCTGGTAGCCGAGTTAAGCGGCAGATGGGCGCACAAAAACTAGTTCCCTGTACTGCATATATTATCAATATGCTAACTAAATTTTAAAATGACTAATAATTTTAATATAAAAAAAATACAAAAATATCAATGAGCACAATTTTCTTGATATTTACTCCACTGGAAATGATTGCAAACATAGAACAGATTACTGAATTGGCAGACTAGCCCGTCAGCTGATCAGGTGATGCTCACAACAAAACATGTTGTTCGTAAGGATTTCGTTAATCGAAGTTTTGTTCGTTAACCGAAATTTCATTAATAGAACCGTTCGTTAACCGAGGGACCACTGTATATTACCCATCTGGCACACAGCTAAAATATCTGGTGAAACCCAGACTTTTTCTGGCCGTCTGGCAGCAGTGCTGTAGCCGTAGGTGTCAGGTGCCCAAACACGAATATATCGGTCGTTCGTGAACTACCTCGTTCAGGGATGGTGCTTCGGTTGCTGGCGTCTACACGTCAATTTTCCGGGTGCTCGCCGCTACCGTGCTCGTACACCACGGGTGGGAACTGATAATGTAGACGTGGCTTTAGAAATGATCTCGGGTTGGTTTCTAAAAGGTTGTACCAGATGTCCCCTTATCACAGAGATATAATCATATTCATTAAACACCAACAGTAGCTCTACAAGATAAAGGAGGACTGCTCAGGGACCGTTATGTCACGATATGCCCAAGTTGATAATGTTCATCTCCATTTAAAGCTCTTGGTGCATCACTATACAAAAATTAAAAATTTCTTTCTTAAATACGATTATACAGTACAATACATTTTACGAATGCAAAAATTATTAGTGAATGTTTTGTTATAATAAATTAAAAATCTTGAAAAATTTTCTTGTAGCAGTGTTTGGTCACTAAATTCTAAATATGAATTTTCCCACCAAATGTAATGGATACCAATCAATATTCAAATTTTCTTAATTTTTATAACAAATCTAACTACTAATTAAGACAAATCAATAAAACTGGCAAAAACGTATATATTTTTTGAATACTGTACTTCTAAGTTACCTACAGTGTATCAGCCCAATTTAAGTACGGTAATTATAATTTCGATATACTGGAAGTATCTGTCACCTCGTTGATTACGTAGTACTGTAATCCAAAAGATTCCCAACGTAGGCACCATTGTGTAACTTTTTAACGCAAATCCCACTTGCCAGCTTCAGTCCTGATTTTTATTTAAATGATTACTGTATTCTTCCTATGAAATAAGTCAATTTTCATTCATTTAATTGATAGCTACATTATCTGGCATCATCATGATACATTAACGATATAATTTAAAAAAAACTTCAGTTGGAAAACGAATAAGACAATAAAGTGCTCTAGATTGAGTAAAATTTGCTTACATTGGGCATACTGTCCCATCATCTAATCACAAAACGACACGTCATATCAGTAGGCAATGATTATCTTGGATATAAATAAAAAATGCACTACAGTCTATTGCATTAATCTTCCATCACTATCAGTCTATTACACTATGGTTTTCAATACCAATATTCAAGTGTTCCCAAATACTCTCTTTCTCTTCTGTTTTTCACTCTCTAAGGCATGTACTGTACACTCACCATATTCCAACTCTCGTATCCCACTTTAATTTGATCCATATTGATGTGGAATTGACCCTCTTGACCTATATCATGCAACTCCATGTCCATTAGTGATCAGCACCATCACATCCAATTTTAATTTAATTTTATATTACTATTTTAAAGAAAAATGAAACTAACCATTAAATGTACTCGTGGTCTGTGGGCTGGGCAGGCGCTCATCCTGCGGCAGCTGTGCCACACCACGACCCCCACCCTGGATCCAGCTGCCCTCGGCTGCAATATGAATTTAATAAGGAAACACATACTTGGGTCGTAATTAAGTTGACAAAGAGAAGCCAAGTGCAGCAATTAAGTACTAATACAAAAACTATAATGTAATGTAAAATTTATTTGGAGTTAATACTGTTTAAAAAAAAAAAAGGGTGCAGCCACACATCATATCCAAAATGAAACTTGGGTATGAAGCACAAGAATGTTTAGTGCTAAAGATGAAAAACACCACAAACAATGTGAATGAGGAGTCTGGAACTAAACGAGTAGAGGAAATTACCTTGAATATAGCAATTTCAAAGAGGAAATGTTTTTTAAATATGATAAAAATATATAACTTGCCAATTTACATCAGGGATATAGTTATTTCCTGAAATTGTGATGTTTATATGTTTGATGTAAACAGGAAAGGTTTATCACAGACCCAAGTGTTATAACTGGTATATACTGTACGTTCCCAGGCCAACGGTTTGGCAGCAAAAAATTACATTAACAGCCATTCCTCGACTTACGACCACCCGGACATACGACCCCCCCAGTCGTACCAAAAAATTTTCAAATTACATATTTTCGAGTCCTGACGTTAGTGAGTGCGCGGTGTGCTAAGAAAATGAGAGACCCAATTTAAATTTTCTTTGTATTATCTTCGCATTTTCGACTTACAACCTGGACTTGGGTCCCTAACCCCGTCCTAAGTTGAGGAGTGGCTGTATATCAGACAGGCACAACGACAGGCACAACGTATTTGTTAATAAATAACGTTTTATTGAAACATCGTAAATATAACCAACATAAATTGGTGACCAGCTGTAAGGGAAAATTGAAGATGACTGTACACTCAGTGTGTACAGGTACTTAGAGATATGTTTGGCAACACTAAGGGGGGAAAATGTAACAGTAAGTGCAAATACAGATCAAGCAGATATGCGCTTTACTTCTATATCTTGGTAAAGAAAAACCAGGTGCATAAATGGGCAAAAGATTCAGCATGATCCACCCTTTAGGATGTAAACAGACAAAAGCAATCCAGTGACTGGCTCAAATTCACTATTACAGTAAGTTCTCACTAACGACGGGGTTACGTTCCTAAAAATGCGACGTTATACGAAACAACGTTAAGCGGATCAATTTTCCCCATAAGAAATAGATAAAATACGAGTTATGTTCCTGAGCTTCCCCTTGCCCCATGAAATACACTACATGTACAGAAAATCATGGCCATTTTTAAGAAAATAATGCATACATATACAACTACCTGTACTCACCGATGGGCTGAGGTGGTAGAGCGAGTGTGTGGTGGGTAGTGAAGCGGAGGAGGAGGGTGGCGAGTCACTGAGAGGGCGATGCACAGTAAAATGTAGTCTGTGACGACGCAAAACGGCGTAGTATCAAATTTTCGGTCTCAAAGTTTATCGACGTACAGTCGACCCTCGTTAATTCGGACCCCTTTAATCCGGATTTCGGATAAATCGGACGAAATCTGAACTGTCCATATCAAATTTCTGGTTCTGGGATTGTCCCAGTTGCAATTTCAAATTCTGTGTCACTACCAAGAAATAACAAAGTCCCTGGTGCACTCTAAGATTAAGAGAAAACGGACAACTCAGGAGTGCTGAAGTGAGAGAAAACGGACTCCTATGACGGGGCACTCAAATAAACATACACATAGCTGTATAATGCAATATTAACCCCTAAATCGGTTAATTCGGACAATCGGCTAAAACGGACGCCCTTCCCCCCCATTAGTCCGTTTTAACGAGGGTCGACTGTAGTGCCAAAACAACATTAAGCGGGACGATGTTATACGAGTACTTACTGTATCCATGTCATTATAATTCCACCCAAACCTGTCCTCCACAAATGAGGCGCCTCGCATCGTATGGGTTATTGCCGCCAAAACTTGAAACTGAGAAAACTGCGTTTTAAAGTTTTTCTAACTTCAAATATGCATAACTTTGTAGTTTATTAAATACCGCATTCATTTTGAGGCACTTTGAAGCTAAAGGACTGTACTTGCAGATGGTAGGTTGCTCGTCATGAAGTAATGTACTGGGTTGTTGCAATGTTGACTTGAAGCAACAAAACTCCCACCCGCTAATGGCTTTTTTTACTTTAATTGATATCAGAGTGTAGAGCCCGATGGAGGGGCCGTGACGTAGATAGGAGACATTCACTGTCATTGGCCTAGACGGGGGAGGAGGCTGTATGCTGTGATTGGCCACTTGCTCCTCTCACTCACTGACGGGATGAGAGCATCTTACGACGTGAAAGCCAAGCCCATAATTTCCTGTCTGCCACAAATCGATGTTCTACCTTATTTTCAAAGGGCTTTCAACCTTATTTAAAGGTTAATAAGGAGACCTTATCAACTACCATCATATAGAGCTAGGCCGAAAATAGTGCTTTCCTACAAAAATACGTGTTTCTGAGAATGGTAAAAATTTAAAATTACATTAAGCTTTTTTCTAGCAAACAGGGCTTTGTTGATGAGCATGTTTTTCCTTTAAAAAGAAAAACTAAGATACATACAAGGACACATATTCCAGCTATTAAAATGCATTTTCATTCCACAAGAGGGGGAAATTGGAATCGGAAAGCAAACTAGTGGTTCCAGGAACATCAAATACACGATTGTAGTACTGTACTGTAATACAGGTTGTACCTCTCTAGTCCGGCACTCTGTGGTCCGGAACGATTTTAGTTTGCCCATGGAGAAAATAAATTTGAGTCTGGTACTTTCGATGTTTGGCAAAATTTTGCCTTATTTACCCTACCTTTTTGGCGAATTACTACCTGTAATAGAGCAACATCCTAATAAACCAACAAAAATAACACAGAAAAAGTTTTTATGTTCTACAGCTTCAGCTAGAGTTGAACCTGATGACTTAGCAACTTCGTCATCCGAGTAAAAAACAACATTGGCTGTCCTTATGTTTTAAACTTTACCACCACTGGTGGGTATAATTTTTGTTTTAAATTCAGAAACATAATTAAAACATATATGAACAGTAAATAAGTGTTGCTTTCAAATTCTTATGTAGAGTAATGACGATATGTTTTCACATGTGCGCACTTACATACACGCAGTCTCACTTTTTTTCTTTATCATTAATTGTTAGCTACTTTTATTGTTCATTTATTAAGATTAAATTACATTACAGAAAACAGCCATATTAATTGTTTTACATTAATTTTACTACAGCTACAACCAGGGTCCTATTTTCTTCAGTTTTATATGTAGAACCAGTCAGTCACGGGTGTAAACATAAACGAAAACAATGCAGTCTCGTCTCCTCGTGCGTTTCAATATTCTACGTATTATTAATGAATTGTATTGCTCATTTTGCACACAAACATTAATTCAATCAAAAAGACATTCAGTAATAAACAATAATGAAACTTTTGTACATAAGAGAAATGACACTGTTTACACGATTGTGCACATCTGAACGTTGGCGGGCCGCTCAAACCCGTAGAAATTTGAGTTTCCGCCGTCGAAATTGTAAATTGTGCAGTGTTTTTTTTGTGTGTCCAAATAAAAAACGTCGAATTAAAAACCACCAGTGAAAGTGGTGCTAGTGCTTCCAAGCGTAAGCACAAGTCACTATCTATCCAGGAAATAGGTGCATTTCTATGGTCTGGCACCAGTCAGGTCCCGAGGTTGCCAGACTAGAGGGGTACAACCTGTATCAGAGCTTTGAAGAAAGAGATTTCATTTATGAGCATGCCAATGGTGCAATGGTAATGTGGCTGCATGGTGTCGTGCCCTAGTGGTAGCTGTCACTATTGGGTCAACTTTACCTAATTTATGCATGTTTATCATTACAGTACTAGCTTTTTCAGCAAAACCGTGTCGAAGACTTTCCCAGTTTAATGTAAAGCACCTTAATATAGTCTACATTTATGATCGATTTGCTACTCATTAGTGCTCGAAATTTTTTACTACACCTCCACCTGACCAGCTACCTCAAAATACAGCATGCCAAAACATAAAACAATTGAATATGCATAAATCTTTACAGCTCAAATTAGTTAACAAAGTTAACTTAGACATGCACCCAGAGCAAAGGGGTCTACATGCAACTCCAAACTAAAGCAGTAACCATGTACTGAAAATGGATATGCTTGGATTGATATTACTTACTAAGCACCCAAACTTGGCCTGTAGAATGGTCAAATTTGCTGCAAAATATTGACAACAATCACAGTATTAAGTGACTTCCTATGTATCTCGGTTTTAATTGTGGCCAGAAGCAAATGAACACGTTCTCATACTCTCTTTTTTATATGAAAAAAAAATGACGTTCCAAGACATTTTTAACGAGTCTTAAGAATTTATTACCAGTGGCAGGGCGTACTTATATCTGGGAGCATACCAGCTAGCAGAAACAATGTTATTATGCATGTTACCAGGAATCCACTAAGTGAAATGTTAGAAATTCTGATAACATACAGATCAAATCAAGATTTTTTAATCTACCCCTTTATTGGTTATCTTCACCACAACAAGCAGCCTTAACACTGTGGATGATTACAATTCAACTACAGTAGGCTCTCGCCAATAAAGACTTCCACAATAACGGTAAGTTACAATAGATACCCATTTTCGATAATAACGTCTGGATTCTCTTGAATAACGGAGGTTTCGTGGGGAGCTTCCGAGCGCATCAAAGATACAGTTTGTTTGCCGCCATGTTGATGACGTAGTTGTCCGCTCCCACTCACTCTCACACACGCTCGGTGGAAAAGTGCTGCACCCAGGTGTGAGATTTTCGCCTCTATAACCAGTGCCAAGATGAAGAGACAGCAGCCAGCAGAGTTAATAAACCAAGTGTTGGAAACCATCCGCAGTATCCCAGCCCCAGGATTTCAAGAAGTGACTTGGAAAGATTTAGAAGAACTGATGCAGGAAGGTAACACAAATGACGTCGAAGATCTCCTGGAGGATGAAGAAGGTGGTGAGAGTGGTGATGCAGGGGAGATTGAGCAGAGGAAAGTGACGGCACAGAAGCTGTCACTCTTATTGGGTGTCTGTACCAGCCTTCAAGAGATGATGCAAGACATTGAGATTGACTCAGGTGAAATGGAGCAAATGATTGCATTTGTAAAATCTATTTCAAGAAAATACCAGAAGCAGTACAACGAGCGAGTGAATGCCCGGCAGCAGTCACTCATCACTCGCTTTCTTTCACAACGCCAGCCAGCCGAGGAAGACCAACAGAGAGAGGTTGAAGTTGAAGAAGACATTGATGACATTGGGGAAATGCCTGAAGATTTTGACTTTGCAGGGTTTGATGAAGTGTTAGTGGAAGTGGGTGAGCCGGATGCGAGAGGCCAGCGTGGGAACGGGGACAGAGATGGGGCCAGGGAAGTGGGCGGAGGTTCGACGCAATAGCCTCCATGCCCCGGCACAATCATCACACCGAGCACCTCAAAAACTCCCTCCCAGGTAAGTGTTATATTACTCAAATTCTTTATTTTGATGATTGAATAACAATTCTTTTTATTTCAGCTAACAAAAAGTGTTAGGAGGGCTTCAAAGGGGAAAAAGGGAGGTGAAATTCTTGGGGCAGCAGCACCAATAAACCCTTTTCACATGTATTTTAATGTCACACATATAACGTTTTTGCTAATAACAGCATTTTTCAGGCACCTATTAGACGTTATTGGCCAGAGCCTACTGTATCAGTGCAATCTTACTTGTACTGTACTATTCATGACATTTTTGCATTGTTCAACAATCGTTACCCCTGATCTAATGGGACATACCCCTCATTACGCTATCATGAGAATTATTTTATCAATGCATTACAAGCCATACAAATAACTGGGTCACCATTACAAAAATCTGTTACAAACCACCGATGCTATTTTAAACTTTTCGTTATTTTAATAGTGAAGCAGTCAATTCCAGGAGCATATATAAAAAATAAAATAATGACAACAAAGAAACCATTTACATACTTACTTTGTGGTCTTAAGCTGGGCCCAGGCCCATACTGCGGCGAAGACTCTGCTGGCGAGTTGCCACCACCAAGTTTGGGGAACTCCCGATGAAAAAACGGCGACTGTTGGACTGAGGAGGACTGTGGGGGCCCACCATCCAGTGGGACTGGTGCCCCGGGGGAACCACCAGGAATTGCCCCACCGGCTGCTGCACTGCTCCATGGCTTGTTGCTGTTGTTTAGATTGTTGTTCCCATTGCTTAGGTTGTTGGTGGGTGTAGAAGTGGTGTTGCTGCTGCTGTTTGTGGTGAGGTTGTTTGTGATGCTGGAGGTGGGGATGATGTTCGTGCCACTGCTGATTTTGTTGGTGGGTGAGCTGCTGTTGATGTTGTTGCTGATCAAGTTGCTGGTGCTTGTCGTTGCAGTACTGGTTGTGGAAGTGATAGATATGCTGCTTGCATTGGGGTTGTTGTTGATGTTTTTGTTTTTGTTGTTTGTGATGGTATTTCCGTTGCTGCTGCTGTTGGTGGGTGTTGTGGTACTGTTGTTGGTAATAATGGTGGGGGTGTTGAGGTTCACTCCACTGTTCCCACCATCCAGTACTGGACCTCCTCCACCACTGATTACTGAAAAAATATTGAAAACTTTCATTGAAATATATACAGTACTAGCCTTCCAAAATATTCTTGCCATCAATCTAAGACCAACCAGTGTTACCTATGCTTGCATACATTCTTGTATTTTTTTAATAACATACAAGCACTAGAAACAGATGTATTGCAAGCTCTGATAAGCATCTTTTGAGCTAAACACCTCATAACACAACAAAATGGATATTTACCGGGAGGTTGAGAATTTGGTGTTGAGCTTGTGCTGCTTCCTAGGTTGTTGTTGTTGTTGTTGTTGGTTGATACTTGGTTGCCCACATCCACACTCGTAGGTGCCCCTGCCCCGGGTGCCTGCCACATTAATCAAGTATTAGTGGAAACACAGTTACTGGTAAATTAAACAAAATACAGTCATCCCTTGGTTATCGCGATTTTCGTTATAACGCCTCCATCAAAATCTGCACACCTGCTGTTATAGCGCATTTTTCAGGCCAAGAATTTAGTTATCACGCAGTTGCCTCCAGGTGTATTGTTAACCCCTTGCTTCACCTACATCTATTGAGGATAAAATCTTTCACCTACAAATTGACAATAACACATTTGCTGTAATCAGACATATCTAAGTTGCCTCGACAATTGCAACCCCAGTTGCAATTTCAAATTCTGTGTCATGACTAAGGAATAACAAAGTCTCGGGTGCACTCTAAGATTGAGAGAAAACGGAGGACTCGGGCGTCCTGAAGCGATGAGAAAACGGACTCCTCCGACGGGGGTCTCAAATAAAGAAAGCATAGCTACATGTTTTGTGGACTACAGTATTGAGCGTACCCTTTTCATCACTTTGTAATAAACCTATCCATGCCTATGTGTGTTTATGATATTTACCATAACATTATATATATATATATATTTAGTGGGTCTAAATGGTCGTAAAATGGGAAAATTGGGGTTGGGTCTTGGGTGCCTGGAACCAATTAGAATAAAGTCCCGAGGTTCTGTACTTTCATTATCGTTTTTTTATCACGCACTCGGCGCGGTCCCAATTAGGCGTGATAACCAAGGGATGACATGGTTCTATCTCTTTAAGCATACTAAAAAATTATTTCTTTACAAGGTATAGTAATGGAAAGATAGACATTGTCCTATTATTATGGTCTGCTCTACTGGTATATAAAAAGGACTGTATACACAACTAATCTTCTGGAATAACTTTTTCCTTCATATGTTATACTGACATCAACCAATCAAGTCTTAACAATGCAGTCGTGAATCCCATATACTGCAAGAAGAAAAATAACGGAGATTGACAATTCATTTTAAGATTACAAGGTACTGTACTCACTTATATTAACTACAGTAAAACCTTGATTAACTGACTTTCAGATTAACCGCCGATCCCAGACCCCTTAAAAAAAAAAATAATTACGGGGATTAGCCCACTCGGGCACAGGTCACTGACCCACATCAGGGCCTGGGGGGCGATAATGTAATAATAATAATAAAAAAGAACCATAAAGAAATGCAAAAATGAAAAAAAATCAAGAGTAAGAAACAATATACCTGTATGACTGTATGTATGTTGTGTTGTTAATAGTAAGAGAAACAATTGAGACACTGCAATTGTGTGTAAATGAGGCAGAATGTCAGATAAGCAACCTGGGACTTGGTCACAAGTTTCGTGATGCCATATGTTCTTTGACTTTTCCATTTTTTATTCACGGTTTCTGTGCTGGTTCATATTTATTTACTAAAGTGGATAATGTTTTAAAGCAAATTCTATTGAAATATGAATGGCAAATGAACAAAAGTGAATAGAGGGAATTAAATGAGGTAGGTTAGGGAAAGGTACTTTGAAAAGGTGTTTTATTTCCGTAGACTTTATGTACCATTAACCGATTTTTTGATTATCCGTCGGCCCCTTCCCCCCATATGTGGGCGGTTAATCGAGGTTTTACTGTATATACTTTTTTCACTCTTGAAAACCCGAATTCAAAATTGTAAGAACGTGTATAAGCCAAGACCTCATCAATTATGGGAGAGTAAGACATGACCCCATACCTTTAGAGTGAGGTCGAGTGGTGGTGTTGGTGTTGGTGTCACCTCCTGAGGAGTGGATGACCCATCGGGGGTCATCTCCTCCGCCTTGCTGCCCCATCCTTGCCCACCAGCTGGTACCAGATTCACGTTAGGATCGTTACCACTATTCTCCGCCTTCAGGCTTGGCAAGTTAGCAGGAGGAGGCACGCGCCGTACAGACGCCACTTTACCCAGGCTTTGCATGCCATGTTTCTGGATTACAGTTTTTTGGGTGGTTTCAATAGACTTGCCCTGCAGAAAATAAAAATGGAATTATAAATCAACCTAAAATCTATTTCATTTTTAAGGGGTAATACATATAGTTATAAATTGTAATAAATCCTGAGTTCTCATCCACAATGTCTAAGAGTTGAAACAAATTTCATGAAAGAAAATGTTTTTAAAAAAAATACAGTACACAGTTCTATAAATGGATAATTTTTTACAATGACTGTGATACTGTATGTACATAATTTGGGTTTCTTGAAAGGTCATAAAAGGTAACCAACCCTTCAAATACAATACTTAGGTCTTATCTTGAGGAAAACTTCTACAAGGTTTCAAAAAAAGGTCCCAGTTAGATTAATTACCAGTATAGACAGTCATAAACATACAGATGCAAAATTGCCACAGTCTTGGTTTCACCCTTATGAAATTTTTTTTAGTAAAAAGCCAACTGGAGAAGTGAACGATCATTAGAAACCGATAAAAGATTTATGATTTAATTTACAGTCAATGTAAGAGGTGTCTCTAAACCCTCTTCCAGTTTATTTAAACCCAAATCCAACATGAAGCTAGCAATCTTTCATCTCATACACACTATTAATATCCTTCTACAAACCTCAAACATTACCTAGTACAGTTGCCAACCCATCAAATTAATTCCTCCATCTTTTATTTCTGATGGTATAAACATTAAACAGCCCTTATCTTAATTTCTTCTGTTACAGCTACAACGCCAAGCTACTAACATTAAACAGCCCTTATCTTAATTTCTTCTGTTACAGCTACAATGCCATGCTACTAACATTAAACAGCCCTTATCTTAATTTCTTCTGTTACAGCTACAACGCCAAGCTACTAACATTAAACAGCCCTTATCTTAATTTCTTCTGTTACAGCTACAATGCCATGCTACTAACATTAAACAGCCCTTATCTTAATTTCTTCTGTTACAGCTACAACGCCAAGCTACTAACATTAAACAGCCCTTATCTTAATTTCTTCTGTTACAGCTACAACGCCATGCTACTAACATTAAACAGCCCTTATCTTAATTTCTTCTGTTACAGCTACAACGCCATGCTACTAACATTAAACAGCCCTTATCTTAATTTCTTCTGTTACAGCTACAACGCCATGCTACTAACATTAAACAGCCCTTATCTTAATTTCTTCTGTTACAGCTACAACGCCAAGCTACTAACATTAAACAGCCCTTATCTTACTTTCTTCTGTTACAGCTACAACGCCATGCTACTAACATTAAACAGCCCTTATCTTACTTTCTTCTGTTACAGCTACAACGCCATGCTACTAACATTAAACAGCCCTTATCTTAATTTCTTCTGTTACAGCTACAACACCAAGCTACTAACATTAAACAGCCCTTATCTTACTTTCTTCTGTTACAGCTACAACGCCATGCTACTAACATTAAACAGCCCTTATCTTACTTTCTTCTGTTACAGCTACAACGCCAAGCTACTAACATTAAACAGCCCATATCTTACTTTCTTCTATTTACAACTACAACGCCAAGCTACTAACATTAAAGCAGCTACCCTCTTACTTTCTTCTGTATTTACAACTACAGCAGCAAGCTACTAACGTAAACAGCCCTTATCTTACTTTCTTCTGTTACCCAGCTACAACGCATGCTAACATTAAGCCCTTATTTTAATTTCTTCTGTTACAACTACAACGCCAAGCTACTAACATTAAACAGCCCTTATCTTACTTTCTTCTGTTACAGCTACAACGCCAAGCTACTAACATTAAACAGCCCTTATTTTACTTTCTTCTGTTACAGCTACAACGCCAAGCTACTAACATTAAACAGCCCTTATCTTACTTTCTTCTGTTACAGCTACAACGCCAAGCTACTAACATTAAACAGCCCTTATCTTACTTTCTTCTGTTACAGCTACAATGCCAAGCTACTAACATTAAACAGCCCTTATCTTACTTTCTTCTGTTACAGCTACAACGCCAAGCTACTAACATTAAACAGCCCTTATTTTACTTTCTTCTGTTACAGCTACAACGCCAAGCTACTAACATTAAACAGCCCTTATCTTACTTTCTTCTGTTACAGCTACAACGCCAAGCTACTAACATTAAACAGCCCTTATTTTATTTCTTTCTTCGTTACAGCTATAAACGCCAAGCGCCAACATTAAAACAGCCCTCTTATCTTTATTTCTTCATATAGTTTACAATTAGTTACTAACACGGTAAACAGCCCTTATCTTATTTTCTTCTGTTACAGCTACAACGCCCATGCTACTAACACAACAGCTCCTTATCTTACTTTCTGTTACAGCCATAACGCCAAGCTACTAACATTAAACAGCCCTTATCTTACTTTTCTTCTGTTACAGCATAAACGCCAAGCTTTCATTAACATTAAACAGTCTTTATCTTACTTTCTTCTGTTACAGCCATAACGCCATGCTACTACCATTAAAACAGCCCTTATTTTACTTTTCTTCTTGTTATAAGTTACAACGCCATGCTACTAACATTAAACAGCCTTTATTTTAATTTCTTCTTCTGTTACAGCTACAACGCCAAGCTACTAACAACATTAAACAGCCTTGGTTTTACTTTCTGTTACAGCTTACAACGCCAATACTAACATTAAACAGCCCTTATCTTACTTTCTTCTGTTACAGCTACAACGCCATGCTACTAACATTAAACAGCCCTTATCTTACTTTCTTCTGTTACAGCTACAACGCCAAGCTACTAACATTAAACAGCCCTTATCTTACTTTCTTCTGTTACAGCTACAACGCCAAGCTACTAACATTAAACAGCCCTTATCTTACTTTCTTCTGTTACAGCTACAACGCCATGCTACTAACATTAAACAGCCCTTATCTTACTTTCTTCTGTTACAGCTACAACGCCATGCTACTAACATTAAACAGCCCATATTTTACTTTCTTCTGTTACAGCTACAACGCCAAGCTACTAACATTAAACAGCCCTTATCTTACTTTCTTCTGTTACAGCTACAACGCCATGCTACTACAGTAGAAGTCCAAAAATCCGGACTGCTTGGGGATTGGGTCGGTCCGGATTTTCGGATTTTCCGGATTCTCAGGCAGTACTTTTAAAATTAAAATTTAAGGAGGAATAAAGAAGAGATGAACAGGTACATTTTGATAGTTTATTCATTAGCAAATATAGCATGCTTCATTTATCAAAACGAGCAGTTTTAATGAAAAAGCTGTGAATTCTAGAATTTTATTCTTTGCCTTTTTGATATCATAAATTGTAGACTTTCCAATGTCGTATGTTTCCATTAGAACAGTATTGCTCACACCACGTACTAGTTTCTTAATTATTTCAAGTTTGTCACTCAATTTCAACGTGTTCTTCTTTCTCTTCACACAACGAAGTTTATCTACTTTAGGAGCCATTATTATGGGCTTGTACAGTAATCTGTAAATGGAAAGAGTAGGACTCAAAATATTGTTCTATTCATACTGTGCTTGATATAATGCATTCACGGAAATGTAATATTTTTGCTAAAATGACGTACGTATTACAGTGGAAAGTGGGATCAAATCGTGACGAAAACAATGACTTTCGCTTTCTTTCGTTCAAAAGATGTTACCGTAATCACTTTTCGAATGGTTTAGTTAAAAAACTGTTGTACTGTATTACAATAATATTCTATCCTAATTGACTTGAATAAATACTACGATACCATATTTCTGAATATTTTCATTAAAATCCATCAAAATCATTTTCTTTGTCATCGTCTGCAGCACCAAACAGCTTCTCCCAGTCCTCTCCTTGAACAGGGCTAGAGGGTACGTGTTTTTCGAATCGTTTTCAGTTAAAAAACTATTACATCACACGTATATTTTACCTAAACTGCGCCTGAATGAATATATTCTCGGAAATAAATAGTAGTTTTGCTGAAACGTGATGTATTTCAATGTAAAATAGGATAAAATACATGTCGAAAACAAAAGACTTTACCTAAGCTTCCGATGTTCTTGAGATGTTACTCGTTTTTTTAATAGTTTTCGGTTAAAATTCTGTTATATTACAATGATATTCTATTCATACTGTGCTTGATATAATACATTCACGGAAATGTAATATTTTTGCTGAAATTACGTACGTATTAAAGTGGAAAGTGGGATAAAATCGTGACGAAAACAATGACTTTCGCTTTCTTTCGTTCAAAAGATGTTACCGTAATCGCTTTTCGAATGGTTTAGTTAAAAAACTGTTGTATTACAATAATATTCCCTCCTAATTGACTTGAATAAATACTTGAATGGAAATATACAATATTTTTGTTGAAACTACCCGCGTTTCAGTGTAAAGTGTTGTAATAATAAATGGTAAACAATTTGCCTTCGGCACTCGTGTTTCAGTTTATAGGACGTAGAGCGTTTTTACTGAAGGTTTTGTTGTTCGCTTACCCTCAAAAATGTGGGTCGAACTATAAACGAGGAATATCATAAATTAACGATTTCTTGGTCAAAAAATCAGGGTCGACAGATAAACGAGGGGGGGGGGGTTATAGATGAGTATATACGGTATGTTGTCACAGTTTGATTGCTCGTTTTAAAGTGGAGACCACGTGGTCGTTGTTGTCGCTGTGCAGCTGTGGCGCTCACGCATGCGCACATACACACAAAAGCCCGCTAAAAAAATAAATAAAAAATAATTAGTTTTTCTAAAGTCCGGATTCTCGGGTGGTCCGGATTTTTGGACTTTTACTGTAACATTAAACAGCCCTTATCTTACTTTCTTCTGTTACAGCTACAACGCCATGCTACTAACACTCTTGAACAAAATTATTAAAAAATAAATAAAAAATATATTAAATAAGAGTGAATTGTTACTTGATCACTTCCATCTCTCGCCACTACTGCTCTAGAAAATCATTAATATTAACTGATAAAAAAAAATAAGAATGAACTGATAGGTAGAATGTGACTTGTTCACCCTGTAATATTGTACAGTAGTATGTTTATTTGAGTTCAATGAGAGGTGATACTAGCAATGGTGTTTGGCCACTGCTCCACAACCAGCCCAAAAAACATTGATTGACAAGTCATAGGTAAATTATCGGTTTGTCGTGCATCTGGCTGCAACATGTCAGAAATTACAGGGGAGGTTGGGGTCACCAAGTAGACTGTGAAATGCTGGTTAACCCTCTGGGAAGTCTGGGAACTTGAGTACTGTATTTTGATGGTTTGCTGGCATTTTATATATTAAAATTACTGTACTAATTTTGGGGTGTAATGTAAACAGAAGATATTTGAACTCTTAATTCATATAAATGATGTAATGTACTTTTAGGCCGGTGAGACCACAATTGGCAGGCGAGAAGGACAGTGGACAAGCTATTGAGATTCTGTACGACCTGTTGGTAAATATTAAAAATTTTGTGATCTGCACCCTTGTATTCAATATTTCTCCTCATACCAACGTTATTATAAATATTTAATTACCAACGTTTAAAGGCTGAACAAATGAGAAATAAGGAAATGAATTGCACATTACAGTAAAAGTCCAAAAATCCGGAACACCCGAGAATCCGGACTTTTCGAAAACTCAAACTTAACTTTTTTTTTTAAATTTAGCTGGCTTGTGTGTGTGTGTGTGTGTGTGCATGCGTGAGCGCCACAGCTGCACAGCAACAACAAGCGACCACGCGGTCGCCACTTTAAAACGAGCAATCAAACTGTGACAATGTATGTAATTTTGAGTCCTACTCTTTCCATTTACAGAGTACTGTACAAGCCCATAATAATGGCTCCTATAGTAGATAAACTTCGTTGTGTGAAGAGAAAGAAGAACACGTTGAAATTGAGTGACAAACTTGAAATAATTAAGAAACTAGAACGTGGTGTGAGCAATACTGTTCTAATGGAAACAAACGACATTGGAAAGTCTACAATTTATGATATAAAAAAGGCAAAGACTAAAATTCTAGAATTCACAGCTTTTTCATTAAAACTGCTCGTTTTGATAAATGAAGCATGCTATATTTGCTAATGAATAAACTATCAAAATGTACCTGTTCATCTCTTCTTTATTTCTCTTGAAATTTGAATTTTAAAAGTAGTGCCTGAGAATCCAGAAAATCCGGACCGACCCAATCCCCAAGCAGTCCGGATTTTTGGACTTCTACTGTATTATAAATGTAAAATAATGGTTCTCATCTATTACTCTTTCAGGCATGTAAACTCAAGATAATACACTTCAATGAGAAAAAATTTAAATTACATAGACGTATACATTCTTTCCTTCTCCATTAATTTCCCTGCTTTCTGATGAGCAGTTTGCATCACATACCACCATTCCCTCATCTCCCCGCGTGATTTACCATACAGAAAGGACCCAGAAAGGCGCAGGGGTTAATTGGTGGAGTGGATGATTACTTGTGACTGCAACTGTACTTGCTCATCCTGATTTCCATCAGACCCTAACGTCATACTTTAATTGGTATAGTGCACACTTTTTTATTAGTTAATCAAATTATATATACCCAATTATAATTTGTTTTTATAAATTCCATGTAACTCCATAAATTTTAGAGTTATTGTTTGCAGTTGGAACACTTTAGGAATTACTTCTTCAAAATATCGTTTGGACAGGTTCATCACTTGTACTGTCTGCACCTCAATTACAAACACTAAATGATGACATAAATATCAAGATGTTTCAAAGAATAAATCTGCATTCTAAACTATTCTACTACTGTACAAATAAAAATTAAAAATCTTATCTACAAAACAATTTTAAAAGTCCACACATCAGGTGATTCCATCAAGCTGGCAGGCAGCCAGTTCACATGTGCTGTACCTTAATTACTAGAAATACTTGCCTTAAATATATTATTTATGTTCAATGACTGGAACTTCTTTGATTTCTCCCCCTTTGCTTGTGACCCGGACGATGCTGACATGCTGATCACAGACGCTCATTTAGATGCTGAGGAACCCGTGGAACGAACCACTAAGCTGAAAAGGAAGAAAAAGGCTTTGAAGTGTGATTTCTTTTATGTTTAAATATTTTCTTGCTTAATACTAGGTGGTCAGAATTTACATACTCCCTTTATGCATTATTCATACTGGTGTAATCAGCGTCCAAAAGGGGAGGAGGGGAAGGGAACTTACACAGTTAAGTTTTAGGTACAGTACAATATGTACTAAATTGTCTCAATTTTGATGATCTTATTTAATAACTTTCAATTATGGTTATATAATAAGCAATACAGTACATTAATAAGAAATTACAGTATTGTATATAAAATAAAAATAATGCAAAAGGCGGCCCCCCCCCCCCAAAGAAAGGACTATAAAACATCCTATTAAGCGATGTTTTTTGTCATGGTAATCCCATTGTGAAAGAGGGCCCAAATCTGCTTCACCTCTCCTTCCACACATGGCAACAACAGTATGTCCATCCTCAGAAATCACTTAATGTTCTGCCCATTCATATACACTACTACAGTACAGTATGTATACAGGTACTTCTCGATTTACACGTGGGTTACGTCTTGAAGAGGTCATGTAAATCAAATTTCGTGCAAAAAAAAAAAAAGTGAGTGAGAGGCGTCTGAGGCAAGATGGGAGTGTGCATCAGCCCCGTTTATACACACTTACAACTCATTCTGACTCCTCCGACTCCATCTCTGACCAACACCAGTGAAACCGTTGCTTGATATACAGCCCCTTTGGCACAAGTACACACACCGCATTGAAAATCATCACTTAGAACTGCTTATCAGTCGTCATTTTCATCAATTTAAAAAAAATAAAATCTGTATAAGAAGGTGAAGTCTTTAATACAGCACTCATTTTATACACCTGGTCACCTCCACGTCTAGGGGGCTGCAGTGTTTACATTCTTTCTCTTGTTTTTGTCGGTGTGACAACGACGGGGGAAATATTTTCCAACAGAAGGTAAGCAAATGTAAACATGTATATCAACGTCTAAATAAAACAAAAAAAATCTTTATTTAAAAAAAAAAAAAATTAAAACTAAAAAAAAAAAAAAACTCGGTAAAAATCAGTTGAATTAAATTTTTGGTAAGCAAATAATAAAAATCACAATAAACTGTAAATATCTAAATATCATGTCCAGTAAAACAGTCAAAAGCATTTTATTCATCTTCAAATCCTGAGAACTCGTCACTGTTGGATTCAACACCAAGCTCTGAATCATCATCACTACTGTCAGTCTCATACAACAAGTTGTCTTCAGTGCCATCCATGGCATTATTGATACACGTTGACAACCCTTTATCCAAAATTCCAAAAACCGAGAGTTTTTTTGTGGGCAATTTTTTTTTTACAGGGATTAGCCCACCCGGGCATAGATCACTGACCCACATCGGGGCCTGGGGGGCGAAAATGTAATAGTAATAATAATTATAATAATTATTCATAGTATACTGTAAATAAATTTTTTATAAAAAATACACCAACACAAAATAATAATGATGACAATAATAATAATAAAAAATATAATAATAAAATTAATAATAATAATAATAACAATAATACTGCAATAATAAAATAATAATAATAATAATAATAAAGAAATACAAGAATGAAAAAAGATCAAAAGTGAGAAACATGACCTAGACCTATGAAGAAGAATTATTATTATTATAATTTTTATTATATTTTTCTGAGCTAACTTTGTTTTTGTTTGCAAACTTAAGCCATTTCGTTTCATGAAGCGAAAACACCAACAAGCAGTTCCTTTTGAAGTCATCCACCCTCCTCCTCCCTCCGCTTGGGTAAGCGGCGCGGTAAGGTTGCGCAGTGTGTGTCTTTGTTGCGTTATCACTGACGTCATATGACGTATCGGACTGTGATTGGCCATGCATCCCTACCCCCCTCTGCTGCTAGCTGTAATTGGCTTAAAGTATTATGACGTGACCACCCCGGGGAGGGAGGGAGGGAGGGAGGGAGGGAGGGAGGAGAGACGATGCTTGACCTAGCTGCGGCAGTTTCATCCCTCAAGGCCACACCGTGTAAACGCGCATCCATTGTTCCGTAAAATGGCTTCCGCCGGACCACCACCGCCCCCAGAGAGAGACCTTTCCTTACCTGGACCCAGCGGCACTAAGCCAAAGAAGACACGACGTTCCTTAAGCTACGAGGTGAAGTACCAAATTGTTCAAGATTTGGAGAAAGGAAGACGGCAAGTTGATCTCGCGCGCCAGCATGGCGTCAACGAATCTACGATTCGCACGATCAAGAAGGATGCAGCCAAGATCAAAGAGCACATGAAAATCACAAAGTCTGCAGGTGCTTCATCTATCAGGTATTGCCAGAACAGGGTGCTGGCAAAAGTGGAAAATTTGCTGGCGAGTTATTTGGTTCGTCAGGCGCGACGCAACATGGCGGTGGACACGCGCTCAGTGCAGGAGTACGCACGTGAGCTATACGCAGCAGTGTCACGTAAGCTGGGAATTGCAGAGCCCAAACCCTTCAATGCTTCCTCTGGTTGGCTGCATAGGTTTAAGAAGAGGAACAAGATCACCAACATCAACATTGGTGGTGAGGAAGCGAGTGCTGACCGTGTGGCGGCTAGAGATTTTCCTCCGTTCTTACGTGAGATTATGGAGGAAGGACAGTACACCGACGACCAGGTGTTTAACATGGACGAATCTGGTCTTTTCTGGAAAAAGTTACCTTCCAAGACCTTCGTTGTCCAGTCTGCCAGCAAGGTAAGGGGTCGGAAGTTGCAGAAGGAACGCATCACCGTCCTGTTTACCACCAATGCCTCCGGTACCTGTAAACCAAAGTTATCGGTGATTCACACAGCCCGCAAGCCGCACGCCTACAAGAATATGGACATGAACAAGCTTAATGTCCACTGGCTAACCGCACGTAAGGCGTGGATGTCCTCTTCTCTGTCCCTCTTCTGGTTTGACAACTGTTTTGTTCCCGACGTGAAGAAATTCTGCGAGCAACAGAATGTTTCATTCAATATTTTGTTGCTCCTTGACAACGCACCTGGACACTCGCCCCTACTTATGGATCGTCACCCCAACGTAAAAGTGGTCTTCCTTCCTCCCAACACTACGTCATTAATCCAGCCCATGGACCAGGAGTTGATCTGCAATGTTAAAGCTGCGTACTCTGCAAAGAAGTTCAAGCTGCTGAACGACTCTACCAACACCAAGGATGAGTTGCGTAAGCTGGGTGACACCGACAGCGAGAGCAAAAGCGACGAGGACAAGGAACAAGAGGCGGTGACTCAAGAACTTCTCGTCAAACAATTTTGGAAGAAGTTTACCGTTAAACAAGCTGTAGACTTCTTGGTGGAGGCATGGGATCTGCTGACTATTGCTACGATTCGTCACGCATGGAGACATGTGTTGCATGGCATACCAGGTGAGAGGAGGAGTGAACCTGTGACTGGTGAGGTTCAGACTGTTGCAGTAGCAGTGGACCTTGCCAGAGAAGCTGCGCTCAATATTACAGCTGAAGGCTTCTCCGAGACCACCAACGAAGACATCCTGGAGGTGATCAGAGATCCTGAAGTGACTGCCGACGAGATGTTGGAAGAAGAACACGCCAGTGAAGAGGAGGAAGAAGGTGCGTCATTCTCCGAAGAACCTAGTTTAAGTCATAGTGATATTAAGTGTGCCATAGAGTTTGCAGAGAAAATTAAGTCCGTCCTTTCCCGCGACAATGACGATGAACGCTATGAAGTCTTCCATACCCGGCTGGTGCAGGCTATGGAGCCGTACATCACGGTGTATCATGACAACATCAACGCCAGCCGTCAGCAAAGCATAACCGAGTTCTTCGCCCGCAACCCACCACAGCCAGCCCAAGCCAGTGATAGTGAAAGTGAAGTTGACTTTGAGGGATTTGTCAGGGAAGCCCTGACAACTGTAAGTGACAGTGATGGTGATTCACCTGAGGGCCAGTAATCTGCCCTCTGCCTCGGAACCAGCCTCCATCCCCATATGCCGACCCATCTCTTCTATAACCGTAAGTGTTACATCTAACTTTTAGTTTCTCTAACTTAACCTTCATTTTTCCTATGTTAACCTTTATCTTTCCTAACCTAACCTCTTCTATATTACTTGTTTTTTCATACCATCATAAAGTTAAGATAGAATTTTTACTACAACATAGTTATGTGTCGTCAAAAAGTGGAGTTTGGGGGTCGGGCTGGTTTCTATTGGAATTAATCCCATATGTTCTGTTGTTCACTTAACGCGGATTTCACTTAACGCGGGACCCTCTGGGTTCAATTGACCGCGTTAAGTGGGGTACAACTGTGTGTGTGTGTGTATATAATATATATATATATATATATATATATATATATATATATATATATATATATATATATATATATATATATATATATATATATATATATATATATATATATATATATATATACATACATACATACACACAGTCTGCGCGGAATGTTAAGTTGCGATAGGGCCGACGAACTAAGTTCTCGCAAAAATAAGATAATATATTGTGAAGCCTGTCCTGGGATGCGAATGTCAAAACGCTTGGTTTGTTGGCAAGTGCTGACATTTGGCAACTGAGAACACGTCACGGCTTGTAGTCAGTGCGCCTCTGGCAGCTGTGAGGGGAAGGGTTTTTGTGTGGGTTCCCGCGCCAGGTGCCCATGTTTTGTCTAGTTTAAGGTGCATTAACCTGACATAGTGGCCATCAGAGATGTCCAGGAGGGTTACTACAAGAGACGATATTGCAGCAGTGATTGCATTGTACAAAGCGAACCATGTACTGAGAGAAATATCGGCTCAGACTGGTGTGGCATTACGAGTTGTTCAAAATCTTGTCAAACGTTTCCGTGACCTTGGAGAGGACGAGTTACCAGCTCCATTACCTAAGTCTGGTAGGCCTAAATTATTGTCTCCACGGACACTTAAGGTTATTTCTCGACAAGTTCGGTCCAATCCCTCACTCACAGCACATGAAGTGAAAGAGAGAAACACCCGTCTTTT